CCTCCCATGTGCTTCGCATCGTCTCTGGATTACTTGTAATACCCAACACAATGCAAATGCTGTGTGAATAGTCGTTACACTATGTTGGGTTTTTATTTATATTTTTATTATATTGGTTTTTTTGTGGTTTTTTTCTCCCTGAATATTTTCAATCTGTTGTGGTTGAATCTTCAGATGTGGAACCTGCGGACACGAAGGACTCACTGCACCTGACTTAAGAGGTCGTTGAGGGAATTAAATAAGACTTCTCAGGTAAAGCGCTTAGTACAGTTTCTAGCACACAGCAGGCACTCAATAAAGTAGTCTTCCTCCCTGCCCCACCCGCCCCATGCCCAGAAGACGACCTTACCTTCCACTGTACTGAGAAAGCAGAAACTTCTGATGGGAAGTTCCGGAACCTGCAGCTACCTAGCACACGAAGTCCCTGCAGCCAGTCCCAAGCTAATCCTCTTAGAAGGGCTTCCCTTCCTCCCATCCCAGGTGATCCCTCCCCCTGTGCCTGGATCTGTCCCCACTGGACACCAGAACCTTGTTCCCTAGTCACTCCATCCAGTGTCTGCCTCTCAGCACATGGATGGGCCCAAATCTCTCCCTTCCTCAAAAACAAGCACAACACCTCCACCTAGTCTGCTTCCTTTCTGGCTCCTGAAGGAATATCTTGTAAAACTGTCATCACAAGGCATGTCCTTGAGCCTTCTCCAGAAGGCACTAACTCTTGGAAGGACCAGTTTCTGGGACCAGGTCTGGTGCAGAACAATCTGAGATCACCCAGTCCCAGCTCAGTGTGCACAGACACCATCCCACACCCAGGCTCCAGGGCCCAGGGAATCCATCACGACAGAGACCCCGTCTGGGTCTGTCCTCCAAGGACCAACAAGGCTTCTATCACGTGGCGGCAGTGTTAAGGATAAAGTGCTCAGTACTGGTCCCTCCTTGCCCCCCTTTCAGGGCCTGGTGAAGGTTGCAGAGAGCCCATGTGGCCCCCAATCAGACAGTATGTTGGTGGCAGTCACAGGGAGGGTCTGATGGAGGCCACAGCTTGGGCGTGGGTGATCAGGGCCAAGAGAGGCCTGGGAGATGCTGTGCTGTCCAGTGGTAAAGGCGAGGCCATAACGTGGATGGCCGTGGGCAGGTATTGCTTAGCGTGCTGGTTTGGGTGAGGAGATGGAGTAGAAGGGAAAGCCTCCTGCTAGGCTTGCAATCATGAGAACATTTCAATCAAATGGACCAATGTTCTGTCATAATGAAAAATCATGAGGGTTTCCTGTTCCAACATATAATTTTGGTTGATATTAAAAAAATAGCATGTGGTAACAAGCCATGCTGATTGGGTAACCCATTCATAAAATGCATATATTAACTCTGCTGTCATAAGGTGTTGAGTGAGACTTTTCCTGTGGCCATGGAATTAGAACTAGGGCCCACAGCTGAAGCCACCACATACTAAGTTCTCCACATGCTACAGAGAGAAATCAACAATGGGCCCAGCTGCCCCAGCCTGCCCCAGCTCCCCAAACCTGTCCCAAGGGTTTCTGAGCGTTTGTGGAACTAGTCCTGCCAAAAGCTGTCCTCTTGCTTCCACTAGAGGACTGGTGGAGGCGAGGGAGAAGGGAGGAGCTGGTGGAAGGCAGCATCCGCACCGAGGGCTGCCCTTCTCCCCAGCAAATGCCAAGTGGCGACTGGCAGGAGGCATCATTTGGGGGCTTTGGACGTGCCTTGGAGAGCAGGAGACGGGCAGCTGTCTCTGGCAGGCGGAGCCAGGCGGGAACACAGGACTAGGGGCACAGTGCAGACGGCCTGGGAAGGAGACAGTGGTAGCCCCAGCCCAGCACCCCTGAGAGGGTGAGGAGAGGACAGTCCCCACGGCTCCTATCGAAGGAGGACCAAGGTCAGAGGGCAGCTGAAGCTGGATGCCCGCCCAGGCTTCCTGGGCAGCGTGGGACACGGAAGGAGGCCCGTATGCAGAGAGGACACGGGGTGGCTGCCACTGCTGTGTGTGCAGAGGAGAGACTCAGTTGCTGCTTTTGAGGGGTCCTCCGTGATGAAGCAGGTTGGGGTGAAGCTGAACCCCAACCCCGGGGAACCAGTCCCAGTGCTGGATCCAGACGTTATGGGGACCTGAAGCTTAAGCAGTTTTTAAAGACCCTCTTTAAGAAAAAGAATACAAAATTAGGTGGGGGCCTCGGGAGGGGCTTGTGCAGGTGAGGAACCATGAAGTTTCAACTTCTCCCCCTTTGTGGGGAACCCACCTCTGCACACGCCCATCTGGGCAGGGATGGCCTCTCGGGGACAGCAGGGACTGAGCTGGAGCCAGAGCACGGGAACCTCCCCAACAGGTGAGCAGCTCAGCCTCCAACGTGTCCCTCTAGTGAGGGGGCAAGGATCCGGGGATCAAATGATGCCCCCCAAGTCCATCCTCTCCTGACCACAAAGCCCGCATGAGGGGAGGAGTAAAGGGCCAGACACAAGCTCCCACTCAGTCCCTGCCAGCCTTTTTAAAACTTTTTTTAGAGGCAGGGTCCCCAGGCTGGAGTGCAGTGGCAGGATCACAGCTGACTGCAATCTCAAACTCCTGGGCTCAAGTGATCCTTTCTTCTCAGTCCCCCCGACTACACGAATCCACCACTACTCTCAGCTGATTTTTCTTCTTTTTTTTGTGCAGAGGGGGTCTTGCTATATTGCTCAGGCTGGTCTTGAACTCCTGGGCTCAAGCAATCCTCCTGCCTCTGCCCTTCAGAGCGCTGGGATTACAGGCGTGAGCTACTGCACCTGGCTGGTGGAGTGGGCATTTCAAGCAGGTAGGAGATTGGAGTTTACAACCGGGCTGTACTGTTAAAGGCAGCGACTGGAGAAATGTAAATATGTTCATGTTCAGATCCTACCACGTCAAATCCTTCAATAATCAGCTTACTCAGACATTGACTTGGGGTTTAAATTGTGCTCTTGGCAGAAATGAGTCAAGGGGCCGTGAAGCAGGGCTGCCCTAGGTGACACGTCCTCGGCACATCCCTGAGAGGCACCCTGAGGCCTGGAGTCTGAACTCTGGGATTTACTTCCTTGTACCAACATTTGCTGGACGGGCAGCCCTGGACAAGCCATTTCTCCCTTGGGCTTGTTCTCCTGTGGGGAAAATGGGTTGTGTGAGGACTAGAGACAGCGTCTGGGGATGTGCTTTTGAAATGGTGGGGTCAATGTTGCTTGTGAGTAGAGGGGATAGATGCTCGGATAGCAAACCCTTCTCTGGGTCCAGGGCCAGAGAGATTCAGGCTCAGGGAGCGGGCGAGTGGTGAGGTAGACTGTCCCTGGTGGAGGTGACAAAATGTCTTTAGTTTGGATGAGTAAATCTCCAGACTAACAAGTCAACCTGCCCTGCAGGAACAAGGATTCCTGGGCATTACGGCTATACTTCTCCTCGGCCCCTCTAATCCCTTTCTTGGCTCCCAGAACAGGAAGAATCATCCGTCCCCACTCCAACCTCCTGCCAAAGTCTAGTCACTTAATTCCTAGATGTCAATACCAGCACTGTCCTTGGCAGATTGCACCACACACTCATTTACATCATTCCCTGCAAAGCAGGACCTGAACTATTTTCTAAGTTGTAAATACAAGCCAGGGCAAGAGTCCTGACAAGGAAACACAGCTGTGCTCCTTTTTTCCCCCCAGGTCCCAATCTTTTCCCCAGGTCAAGTTTCATATAAACACAACAGTCATTCCGCAGGGGAAGGGCACTGCTGACTCGGTGGAGTAAGGCCTTGGCAACTATCTGCTCCCTGTCATTCATCCTTCACTGCCCTTTGTCCTCCCAGGCCAGGGCTTCCCTCTTTTCTTTCCTGTTAAGCCAGTCTAACCTCCATTGCATCTCGTAATCCTTTAGGGCAGCATCTTCAGGACATTTTTGGCTGCAAAGAACAAAAAACCTAATTGGATCTGGCTTAAGCACGACAAACAACATGCTGGCCCACGCTGTTTAAACAAGTGCATCGGGCTGTAGGCCCAGCAAGGTGTCCCGGCTCAAACAGTGGCTCTCAGGACTTACACTGTTCATCAAAGGGAGCCAGTTCTGCTCCCTTTGTCTCGGTGGCGACAAGACTGCTCAATGTCCCATACTCTCAGCAACCCCAGAGAAAAGAGACAACTTCTTCCTATGGCTCTGAGCAATGTCTCTGCACCGAGCTTCGTTTGCCTGGCCTAGCTCACCTATCTGTCCTTGGAGTGATCCCTGTGGCTAGAGGAACGGAATGATTAGGCTGGACTGGAGGGGGAAGTTGGGGATCAGTTCTACCCAGTTTCACAGGGACTGAGAACAGGGCACAGATGGCTGCCCACCAGCCAGCAGGATGGATGCACAACTGCTGTCCATCCCAAGACCTCGTGTCAAGAATGCTGGGCCTGGCATAGGAACACTAGACTCTTGGAACATTTATGGGTGGCTTTGGGCTGGGCCTGCTGTAATGCCACAGTGGCAGGATCTGGAGGGGTCAGAGGCGGAGTGTGGGCTGTTGGCGAGGTCCTGCCCAGAGGCCAGCGGACTGCAGCCTCTCCATCTGAGGGCCTCTTCCTCCCACCTCCAGCTCTGGTTTCCATGCATCACAGCCATAGACAAGCTGTGCCCTTCTCTTCCTTCTTCTCTCCTGCGTGTGATCAAGGGATGTAGCCACCTCACCCACTTCCAAAGCATCAAAAACTCTAGTCTTTTCCAGAAGTCAAAGAGGCCTGAGGCTTCCCTGTGTCGTCCCCTCAGAGGAGACTGCCTGAACAGAGGAGTTCCTGGGGGCTGGCGACCCCCACTCACCCGCTCCGCCCAGGTCATCTCTAGGGTTTCCCTGCATCTGACCCCTCCCAGGCAATGCCAGGTTTGAGCATTCTGGGATGCAGGTGTTCAGGCTACTCCTCCAGGCCCAAAGGAGCACACACTATGACATGGAAGAAAGCACACCTTTATTTCAGCCCCCACCCTCCCAGGACCCAAACACGAGGGCACACGGCCTGGTATCCACGGCGCAAGGTCCAGAAGAGCCCGCTGAACACAGGCCAACAATGCAGTGTCCCAAACCCCTGCCAAAAAACAGCTCACCCTGCCTCCCCAAAGAGGGGTGCCCGGGGTCCACTGCAGATGGGGACGAGGAGCACACAAAGAAAAGGTGCCAGGTGGGACCCGGGACATGCTGTGGGGTCCCTGCTGTGGGATCCAAGCGGCAGCTGTGGGAGGTCCCTGCTGTGGCCATCGCTGGTCCCAGCTACAGAGCCATCCCAGAGGCAAGGACAGCCCCAAGGCAGGGGTTCTCCTGGCACAGGCCAGCTGGCAGAGGTAGTGTAAACACATCTGAAGGTGGGGAGTGCCTAATGACCAAGCCAGGTGCTCTCCTGGGACCTGCCTGGGACCCAGGAACAACAGGGCAGGGAGGTGGGGAGGACTTGAGGCAGGGCTCTAAGACTGGATAACCGACTGGGCCCAGGAAAAAAGACTCCACAGAAACGGAGGAAACTGCAGAGAAACTGCTGGGCAGAAAGAGGACACTGGGGACAGGGAGAGAGGAGGTTACAGCAGAGAGGCAGACAGGGACAGAGAAAGAAGGAGGCTGTGGGGCAGAGAGGAGACTGACTTAATCTTGCCCCTTCTCTCACTGGCTCTGTGTGCTCTGGGGTGGGGGGTCCCTGAGTTCTCCTAGCTGGGGAGGAGGGCAGGGCTGTCCTTCATCAGGCTCTTCCCTCATCACATCCGGTCATTTGAGATTGAGGCAGGCAGCCTGGGAATGAGGCCGAGTGAAAGGTGGAAGGGATCTGCTCAGCCCCGCCCACTTCACCTCTACCCGGGGCTGGGTTTGGGCCCTGCTCATCCTCCTCTTCTGGGGGGTGCCCTGCCCAAGCCTGCCTGAGCTAATCCCTCTGCACCTGCTTCCGGACTCCTCCCTGAGGCTCCGAGAAGCACACTGCAGGCCCCCACAGGCAAGGAAGGGGAAGGGAGGAGGGGTGGGGTAGGGCGGGAAGAGGTAGGAGAGTGAGAGCTACATCCACACTGTCACGTCCAAGGCCAGCAATCCCTGCAGAATCTGCCCTTCAACCTCTGGGACCTAAGTACAGAGAAAATCTTAAGGAAGATGTTTAAGAATGTAAATAACTTTTCAAAAAACAATTTTGTGTGTGTGTGTGTGTGTGTGTGTGTGTGCATGTCAGTTTTTTGTTTTCTAATCTTTAATTCATCATATTTGAGCATGATTAAAAATGTTTTTTAAATTGCACTAAATTATTCACTATAACAACACCACCTTAGGTAACCAGAACTTACAAGTGCTGGATTTTAGATATCTTTTACATTCTTTCTTTACCTTTAGGAAGGAAGGGGAAGACCACTAAGCTTGCAGAATTCACAAATCAGTAAAAACAAAAACAAACAAACAAAAACATAAAGGCAAAGCAACAAAGCAACCTCCAGGATCCCCTATAATCCTAACATCTCTACTCCAGGAGTCCTAAGCTCAGTGTCTACAGGCGCCAGGCAGGTATACAAAGGATGTTCAGAAAACCTTGGTGTCTTGGAGTCCTTGGGGAGTGGCAGAGACCATGAGCTCTGAAGCGTGATGCCCCAGATAAAGGGGACCATCACTCTTTAGCTCCAGCAGAACATTGCTGAGTGGTAATGCAAGCCCCACGCAGGGCTTTTGATTTCAAAAGAAGAGAGAAATCTGCTACACATTTTTTAAAGTGTGGTATCTCTTAATTTTTAAATGTTAGCTCAAAACAAAAGCATCCCATAGGCCAAACAAAACAAGTTTGATGGCTGGTTCATAGGCTGGCTTTTAAGAAAGGTTAGAGATTCTAAGATTTAAGGAATCCTAGGGTCATTTAGTTCTATGATTCAGAAACTCTAATGTGAATATATTTTGAGGGAACTTGTTAAAATGCAGATTCCGATTCAGCAGGGCTGAGGTGGGGCCTGAGAGTCTGCACATCTCACAAGCTCCCAAGTAATGCTGAAGTTGCTGGTCCCCCAACCACACTTAGTAATGAGGGTTTAGTTCACCCTTCCATCTAGGAACTCCCCCTGACTGTCAAATCCCTGGTCAATAACATCTTTGGTTCTGCTTGCACACCTCCAGGGACTGGACACTCACTACCTACGGTGGCAGCCTGGGTGGCAGCATCTGCTGTTAAACTTCTTCCAGGGTCTGTAGCAATGGTGAAGGACACCAAGAGGCAAACATGCCAAGGCCCAGGCTTTGGAACATCAGAGTTTCACAAAGGAAACTTCAGCTGGGGACTTGCCAGGACAGGGAGTTGACACCTGTTGCAAAGATCTAAGCACAAAGAATTTTCTGTCCAACTGACTGCTCAGTGGCACCCAGTTAAACAGAGAAAACTACTATTCTTTGGGTGTTCTGGTTAGTAAGGGTTTGGTGAAGTTTACTTTTCTTTCCCCAAAGCCTTGAAGCAAGCTTTTCTCTGCACTTGGGCAAGTTACGTGGTTATGCCCACAGAAGGAGCCAGTTTCTGACTGGTGGGGGATGGAGACAGGAATGAAACTTGAGGCAAAACAGAAGCCCCGGTCCCTCAGGCCTTGTGACAACCCCTGCTTTGGTGGAACACAAGGACTCCATCTCCTCTGGGCTTGGGGCATCCAATCCCAGATCCTCCTTCCTGGGGCCCTGAGAAACCCTGGAAAGTGGAGAATCCCCCAACTCAACATCCCCTGATGGGCTCAGGGTCCCTGGGGCCGGGGCCACATGTCACAGTGTCTGATATCCAAGGCCAGCCATTCTAAAGCCCAGCTGTCAGGGCCACGGGGACCATGGAAACCACTTAGGCCACCCCCCCCATTGCACCATTGAGGGGAACCCAAGCCCTGAAGAGCTCATGAGACTCCCAAGGTCACATGGCTGCTTTGCAACCAGCTCTTGTAAAGGCCCAGAATCCTTTGAGGCAAAGCCGGATGGAGGCCACGGGCATTAGCCAGACTTTCCGTCACCTATAGCAGCAACTTTCAGGAAAAGGATCTTCCACAATGATCCTGAGGAAAAGAGGCACTTCTTAGGCAGAAGTCAAGGAAAGGGATCACCCAGGAAGGAGAGGGTCGTGGAGCAGTTTCTTGAAGGAGGTTAGTGGGCAGTGCTTCTGCTCTAACAGAACTCCAGGGGACCGTACAGACTGTCCTCGGGCCACTGTTGCCCCCTAGAGTTCTGTCTCCTGTGCAGTGCACAGCCTGTGAGGCCTGGTTTGTGTGCTGGGGAGGGGGTGAGGTCAGGGGAAGAGCCACAGCAGGTCCTGATTATAGGGTTTCCTAAACCTGCATTTCTAGACCCCTCCGGACCTACCGAACCAGAATCCACCAGAATCCGCACAGGGGCACTCCCCTCCCAGGAGCAATCCCTGGGTTTAGCAGCCAGCCCGGACTAAATCAGAAAAGGATCGGGACACCTGCCTTGGGTGGGAGGTTCTGCAGGCAGTGCTAGGCCTCACTGTGCCCTAGGAAGCATCCCCCAGAGATGTGTGGCCCCCGAGTCTGAGGGGAGATGGAAGCTGGACGTGGAAGCCGAGGGAGCAGCACCTCACCTGTCAGGGGCGGCGGTGGTGGGCGCTGGGCCTCACTTCTCCGAGAACTGGCCTGGCCTCGCCTTCTCCAGCTTCCGGCGCCGCTCGGGTGGGATCTCCCGCAGGCTGATGCCGTGGTTGCTGCTCCTGCGGGCAGGGGTTGGTGGCCCCAGGAAAGGGGGACAGGGGGTGGGAGGGCAGTGCCAAGGTCATCGCCGCTTCGTGCCGGGGTCAGACACAGAGCGGTAGCCAGGGGCCCGCTCCAGGCATGCCGGCCCTTCTTCCCCCGCCCCGGCCGCGACGCCAGCCCCTCACCCCGGCTGCAGGTCGGGCGGTTTGGGGATGGGCTTGTCGAAGCCGCGTCTGCCCACCAGCCAGTACGTGTCCTCGGCGCCCTTGCCCTGGGGAGACACGGGGGAGGGGAGGACTTAGGCGGACTGGGTGACGGGCTACCTCGAGGTCTAAATGGAACGGGGAGACCCGGGTCGGAAGGGAGAGCTTTATCTTCCCGGGCGGGGCGGGCCCGGCCTCACCTTCAGCTCCGTGCGGCCCCGAAGCTCCATCTGGTAGCCCTGGTTCAGAGCGCCGAGAATCTTCACGGTGCTCAAGTTCACGTGGATGCGGTAAGCTGGGGCGGTGGGGGACGCCGTGAGCTCCGGACTCACCTCCGAAGTCCCGCTCGCGGGCCGTTTCCACCCTGAGGCCCGGCCCAGCCCCGCAGACCCTCCCGCCAGCCACACTCACGCAGCCCGGTGGACTCCATGCGCGAGGCGGTGTTGACCGTGTCTCCAAACAGGCAGTACCGCGGCATGGTGAGGCCCACCACGCCCGCCACGCAGGGGCCTGTGGCGACGCGAGACGCGGGGGTTGGCAGGCGCGTGGGGCCGCACAGGGTCCTGGGGGACCTCTGCACCCCTTAATCTCCATCAGCTCCCCAAATAAACACTCTCAAGCGTATCCTCCTCCAGGAAGGCTCCCTCCCTCCCCCCACTCCACTAGTTTGCCTCCCACGCAGGAAATCGGGAGCCAGGCCCTAAAGAGGGAGATGGGCTGGAGCGCGGCGAGGCTGGGGAGTTACCCGAGTGCAGGCCGATGCGGATGCGCACGGGCACCTCCGGCATGTGGCGCATGCGGAAAGAGCCCACGGCACTGAGAATGTCCAGCGACATGTTGGCGATCTCTGCCGCGTGCCGCTGCCCATTCCTCTGAGGCAGTCCTGAGGCCACCATATAGGCGTCCCCAATTGTCTCTACCTAGGGGAAGGAGTGGTGGGAATTCATGACCGAGCGCTTCTTCCCCCAGTACACGAAGCGACTGTCCCTCGTCAGGAGGCCTAACTGGGATTAGCATGGATATCCTGGGAGCCAGGCTGTGAGTTGGGGACTGAGCTGGGAAGTGAAGAGAAAAGGGACAGAAGGGCTGGGAAAGAGGACTGGGCAGGTGGGCTGGGGGCCGAGCAGGAAGGGCTGGGGGCAGGGAAGCTGAATGGAAGGTCAGTAGGACTAGTCCTCTACACACTTCACCTTGTAGACATCGTGGGAGCCAATGATAGCATCAAAGAGGGTGTAGAGGTCGTTGAGCAGGTCCACCACCTCGATGGGCTCACTCATGGCTGAGATGGTGGTGAAGCCCACGATGTCACTGAAGTACAGCGTCACCTCCTCAAAGTATTCGGGCTCCACGGGTGTCCCTGTCTTGAGGGCCTCAGCCACAGACCTAGGGATGGCAGGCAGTGAGGTCCCCTGGGGGCCACCCCAGTCTGGCTGGGCTCCACTGCCCTTCCGACCCATCCCTTTTCCCGTTGGCACCCACGGAGGCAGCATCTGTGTGAGCAGCCGGTCTGTCTTCTGCTTTTCCTGCTCCAGCTCCTCCGTGCGCTCCCGGATCAGGTCCTCCAGGTTACTGGAGTACTGCTCCAGCATCCGCAGCATGGAGTCGATGATGTTCGTCTTCCGGCCCTTGTTGATGCTCTTGAACTAGTTAGTAGGAGGAAGCTGGTGAAACTGTGAAGACCTGAGCTGCCATGCCCCTGTCATGGGTCCTCTTATGGGGCTGTATATTCCTCACCCTGACCCCTACCCCAACCATTCATCTTCTATTCAGCAAGCACCCACGGAGTGCTGGGTACTGTGTTTTCAGACATTATTAGAAGGCACATGGGAAACGAGGTTCCCAGAGGTCAGCTGTTCTCAGCTAGCAACTGACAGGGCAACGGAGCCAGCCTGGCCTTTGGACTCCCAGGCCAAGGGTCCTTCTGTCACAGTAGGCCAAGCACGTGCTTGGTTCTCAATCAATGTTATTTGAATTGAATTGATGGTTTCTCCCACCCAGAGCTCTGTCTCTCACTTCAGTGGCCTCCACAGTCCTACTTCATCCCTATTCTAACTCTGCCCTACCAAACTCCCGAGTCTTCAGGCTACCCTTAGGATATAGCCTGGAAGGTCAGAGGTCCTTCCAGCCTGCCTGCAGCTTTCCCAGGTTGCTGACAAAAATCTGGGATCCCAGTGGCCAGCCCAGCCCTTGCCCAATCCCAGCCCCTAACCAGGTCAAAGGTGCGGTCCATGGTGGGCCGAAGTTCTGGCTGCTCTGCCCAGCACTGTTTCATCAGCTGGATGCACTCCATGGGCGCCTGGTCCATGGACACCAAGGGCCGACACAGTGGAGGGGGGCTCTGCACCCTCTGCACCACTTCTGGGGGCACAAGGGGACCATGAGTGGAGGGCATGCCAGAGCAGAAGCTACCTCTGACCTGGCCTGATTGCTGAAGCCCAAGATTGGGGGGAGCTGACAGGAGTTCCCTTAAACCAGAGCTTCACTGGGTAGGGAAGTATAGTGTGAAAGGGGTTGCTAGGAGGAGCAAGAGTACCCTGAACCCTAGGGGTCAGTAAGAGGTGACACAGACAAAACATTTATTGCATATAGGAAAAGTGAAGGTTGGGTGATTAAGTAGCTTGTTCAGAGTCCTATAGATAAGTGACACAGATTTGAATCAGATTGGACTGACCTCCTACCCCCTCCCCATTCTCCCTGCTGCCTCCCTGGGACCCTTGAGAACCAGAGAGGCGCCTGCTCCGCCCCGTTGGGGAAGCAGGTTGGGTCGAGGATCAGGACAGAGGAAGGTGTTGCCATCTGGGACCTGAAGAGCCACATGCCCCTGGCCCTTCAAGCCCCGGCTTTTAGGGAGCCGGCACATACCTAACTCTCATCACTGGGCTTTCCTTTAGAGAAAAGCGTGAGGCTGGGTCTGGCCTGGTTCTGTCCTAACTGCAGGGTGCCTCTCTGACCCAGACTCCGAGGAGGGGAAGCCTTACCCTCGGGAGTCAGTTCCAGCATGGCGTAGGGGGTACTGCGGCACACGACCTCCTGCATGATGATGCCCAAACTGAAGACGTCGCCGGCCAGCGTTCCCCGGCGCTCCAGGGCCGGGTCCCTCAGCAGCTCCGGGGCTGTCCACAGCTGGTCTGGGGATGGGGAAGGGGGCGTGGGCACATGGAGGACCGTGGGGGCGCTGGGGAAAGACTCACCCTCACCAGAAAGCCCAGGCTCGCACCCGGCACTCACCAACCCCAAGCCTAAGCCCTGCAACTACCCCTGGGAGAGACCACCTGAAACCCGAAGCGATCTCAGTCAAAGCCCCGCTCACAAGTAGGCCCCGCCCCTCAGATGAGGCGGTGCCCAGGGAAGACTCCGCCTTCTGGGCACAAGCCCCGCCCTTAGGCGAAGTTCCGCTTGGAGCAGACCCGGCAGCACAGGCAGCTCACGCACAAGTCCCGCCCCCAGCAAGACCCCGTCTGCCCAGTGGCAGAGCCCACCCTCCGCATCTCTCAGAGGTCACAAGATCTTTTCCATAGCGGGCGTCGTGTCCAGAGAATGTAGGATGGAGAGAGTGCAAGGGCAGAAGGAGGGAAGAAGGGAAGGAGGGAGCGAGGGAGGGGCCTTTGAAGTAATGGGGATGCGGGGGGGTGATGCTCTGGTGCGTGGGAGGCAGCGGGGGACTCCTACCCTCGGCGCTGGGAGGCTCTGGTAACACCCTCTGCGCTTCCAGCAGTCGCGAGTGGCCGTGATCTGTGACCTTGAGCACGAACCTTCCGTCCACTATGCAGTTCCGTGACTTAAGCCGCCCGTGAGGTACCCCTCGGTGGTGCAGATACCTCATTCCCTTGGAAGGGGTGGGGTAAGAGGCAGCCTCAGCCCGCGCAGTTCCCCTGACCCTTCCTCTCTGTCCCCTCCTACCTTGCCCCAGTACACCCCGCCCCCCCCACACACCTTGATGAGGTCCAGCAGGAGAGAGGACTTGAACATCCAGTCCAGCTTTATCTCTCTCTGGGCAAGGAGGTCGTGGAGGGAGCCCCGCGCACAGTGCTCCGAGACCACTGCCAGGAAGCTTTCTCCAGGGGACACAGGGCCGTCTGCTCCCCCCGCCAGGAACAGCCCCACGTAGAGGGCCACGTTCTCGTGCCGGAGCTCCTGAAGCTGAGAGGGGGAAAATCCACAGGCATTTTGTGCCCTGGGAGCAATGTAGGGAGGGGACCGTTATTCAAGATCTAGTTTTGAGTATCCGAACTCAGAAAGTGGGATAAAAATGATCCACGCTCTCCCGATTAATGGCCTTTGCAGAACCAGGGAGAAGCTGTGCCGCTTTCAAAGGACACCAGAAATGGCTCGTGCCTGGGGCTGCTTTGCTTGGTGTTACCTCATTGCGTCAGACACATCTGAGACTCCCACCCTCCCCAAGTTAGGGAGCACAGGACTGAGCAGTGAAGCCATGGTCCCAGAGGAGCCATCAAAAAGAGCCACGCCGGCTCCGCATGACAGAGTGCCCTGCAGTCATGGCGTGCTGGAAAATGGGGGCTGGCCGGCTGCCTGGTGCTCCTTCTAGCTTTTGTTTGGTCCACGTGCCCAATAAAAGGCTTCTTTTCATTTTAAATGCCTGGTGTTAAGTGGTGATCTAGTCTGTTGACCCATACAGGCAGTATGGTCATTTTGCTGCCGTGACCAAGAGCTCCTGTAAAGGCATCAGGGAAGAGGGCCAGGCCAAAGCTGCATGGTATTGGGAGAAAGGGGGGGCATCAAGGTTGGAAGGACCAGAATAAGCCAGTTTATAGGCTCCCTGCCAACTTTCCACTTTGTTCAGTATGCATCAACATAGGTAGCTAGGGCCATTCTGCACGAGTGGCCTGACAGAACTTGAAACTCGTTTTTTATGTTATGTCATTTGCTCAGTAAACATTCGCCGTGTCTCTGTAATGTTCCAGATACTCTGTTAGGTGCTGGGGAATATGACCAGGGACATGGGGAAGCCCTCATTTGGCTTACAGTCCAGCGAAGGAGGCAGATCAGAAATAAGCGAGCACGCAGATAAACATACAATTACAAATTGTGATAAGAACAGCAAAGGAAAGAACTCGTGGTACGAGACAAACTAATGGGAAACCTGCTCTGGAGGGGAGGGGACACTTAACTGATACCTACCTCTATACCAAGCTGCAAAGAGAAGGCAGGAAGGGAGGAGACCATGGCCGCCCCCACACCCCCAAACAGCCCCAATTCTCACCTTGGAGAAGGCCATCTTGGTTGCTGGGCGGATAGTTAGGTGCTGATACCCTGGGAATTTCTTCAGCCAAACCCTGTCTCCCTGCAGCAGACAGGATGGGGGTAGGGAACTCAGTCTTTTAAAACCCCATAATGCAAGGAGCCTTAGAAACCCCACATTTCCACTGCCCCACTGGCCCAGAACACATCTTCCATGTGAAAAGCGCATCGGAGCAAAGGGTTTGATGTCTGCTCATCCACTTCACAGCCAGCAGGCTGAGAGCCCTCCCTTGGGTGAGAGAGAGGCACAAGGCCTGTATGACAGTCCTCACCATCCCAGATGTGTCCACTGACAGTCCCATTAAGTGCATTATTACAACCACGAATGTCATTGACATCACAACCCTCATCACCATTCTTGCACTGTGCTGGGAGTCAAGAATCCAGGTAGACCAGGCTTTATTGTAAACTGTGACCTATAGGCAGCTCCCCTCCAGGTGCTGGGCCTCATTGTTCCCAGCTGTTGGCAGGGCTGGCTCACGTACATGTGACCTGTGAAGTCACACAGGGCTACATGTTGTCCTGGACTTTGCTAATTTTGCAGGTGGCCTTGTCTGTTGGTAAGGAATTTGGACTAGAAGGGAATTATAGGGGTTTGGAAATAAATATGGGGACATTTTTAATTGTCATAAAAACTGGCAGCTACATTTAATGGATAGGACCAGACTAGAGACACTAAATGTTCTTCAAGGCCTAAGGTAGTCCTATACGATGAAGAATCACTTGCCCAAAATGACAATAGTGTCCCCTCTGAGCAACGGTTGTGATGACCCATGGGTGGCTTAATAGGAGCCTCTGTGTCCTCTCCATGACCTGAAGCTCAGGAGCGCTGAATTCCACAAGCTCCCTCTCAGCTCTCTCTGCCCTGTTCTCCCCATCTCCCATCCATCCCACCACATGCAGATTTACTGGCCCCATTGTTAATGTCCTAACCCCCTTTTATGACTTTCTTTTTCCCCTCCAGGGCTTGCTGTTCCTGAGTGTGATCTGAGTTGGCTGGGAATGCTGAAGGGGCAGGGCCAGCCTCTAGCCTCTGGGTCTCTGTAATCAGCCTTTGAGGACCCCCCTGGATAATGGCTAAGGGAAAATCCTGGGGCAGGGAGGATTTCCAGATGCTTCCCTTTGAGGAATCCATGACCTTTCCCTAGATCCCATCCCCTTTCCTGGAGCTTGCAGGGTGTGACATGACTGCAGAGTGTGACATGACTGCATCCCTCCCTTGAGAGTCACCTCCTCTCTGGCCTGAGCATCCCTCCCCCTACCCCTCCTGGAATAGAGCCCCTGGCTGAGGGCCAGGCTCACCTCATAGAGGCCAATGTTGGAGCTGTCTGAGGGCTGGCTGGGGACACTGCGAATGTCTGACACACTGCGGGCAGCCAGACTCGATCGGCTCCCCTGGACCACCTGGGGGGGGTAGAGGTCAATGCAAGGGGTCAGAGCGGGGGCGATCAGAGTCCTGGCTTGAGGTCAGGCTGAGCTTTGGGGATGAAAGAGAGGAGGGAAAGGAATTTCAACTATGGAAGGTGATAAGAACATCGCACCCCCCCCCAAGTGCACAACACTTTACAGTTTACAAAACATTCGAACTTCACATCGCTCCAGGAAAGTAGTCAGGACAGAGGCTGTCACCCTCATTGCACAGATGAAGGACTGAGCCCTAGAGCTCAGACCTGAGACGGAGCTCAGAAACCAGATCTCCCAGGCGGGGGCTGGGATGAGGGCTGTCTCAGGGAAGGGACCAAATACACAAGGAGAGGGCAGCTGGTCCCTGGCTCCCTGCCTCCCCCACCTTTCGAGAGTTGCCCCCCTGTGGGTGGAGGAAGGTGATGTCATCTGTAGTCAGGATGATCTTGTTGGGGCCTGAGACCATTTGAATGTGAAGTAGCCGGTGCCTGGTGGGGGAAGGAGGTCATCTCCACACAGGGGACAAAGGTCCACAAGAAGAGGCCAGCAGGGGATAGAGGTGGAGGGATAACGTTAGCTCAGGACAGGGGTCGTGGAGGGCATCCATCCCCGAGGACTCTGGCAGCCTGGCCAGGTTTACCCACCCCCACCCCTAGACGAGTCCTCCTCTCCTCTCCGTGAGCCCAATCTGCTGTCTTTGCTGCACAAGTTCATTTCTGCCAGGCGGAGCGCCAAGATCACCTGCCTACTTACCTTTTGTGCCTACTCACCTCACGTAATGGGCCAGGAAGGCCCCGGACAGCCCCATCCCAACCACTAGGAGGAAGCCAAGAAAGATGAGGCCCGGCTCCACTCCTGAAGAGACAAGGAGAGGAGGACAGTAAGGACTGTGGCCAGGGGAGGCCCCCTTTCTAGAGACGCATGCAGTCACACCAAATACTGGTGGCTCCAGGAAAGGGAGACAGGAGTCTGGGCAGGCTCTAGGGGAAAAGTCCTCAAAGGGGAGAGTCTGGGAATGCTAGAAGGTTCCAAGAGGGCTTTGGGGCTTGGCAAGAGAAGAGTCCTGCACAAGCCAGCAGTTAGAAGAGGATCTAGAAGGGCAAGAAGAATTTCAGGACAGGAGTTCACTCTCTTTCACCACTTTGTGGCCAGTCCATGGTGACCGTCCCAGTGGAGGCTGGAGTGCTAGTCCTCACCTCCATTGCAGATGACGTCTGGATCGAACCAGCACAAGGGGTCAGGTCCAGGCCCTGGTCCCCCACGAGGGAAGTGCACGGGGGTCCCAGCGGAGCGAAGAGCGCCCTGGACGGGGTCCAACATGTATGTGGCAAACAGCTGGTCCCCCACCGCGTCCGTGTCCAGCAGCACAAATGACGGCTCCTCAGCTCCACCTAGGGCCCCGCAGAAGCCAGGGACCTGGGCATCCCGGACTTGGCTGGCCACGGCTGCTCCAGACACCCAGCCGCCACCTGCGGCTGCCTGTGCTCCCGCCATGCCCCTCATCAACAAGAAGACTGCATCGTAGATGGTACCAAAAAGTGGGGAGACCTGGAGAAGGACAGTAGGGACTCAGGGCTTGGGGTCATGCCTCATAAGCAGACAGGAGCTCACTGGCTCTTCCTGTTCTTTCTCTTCAAACCCTGAGTGTATGGACTGTTCCCACCTCCTAGTTGGTGGTTCTCAGCACACTCGCCCCTTTGGGGGTCCCCTCTTCCTCTCACTGGCTATCTCACCTGCTGTCCCCACTCCCTAGCCCTCTTTTCAGGACTCAGGCTCTTCTTTCACCAGTTGCTGATTCTAACTCTCCTCACCTACAGCTCTTCCCCTTCCCGTTGGTTGCCCTGCGTATAGTTTAATCTTGTCACTCACCATTCACCAAAAAGCCTTCTTTCCCATCTTTTGGTTCGCTTCTATTTTCTATGTTTCCTTCTTTTCTTTCCTTGAGATTACCACCTGATCTTATCAGACCTCTCTTTTATCCCCCACTCCCATCTCAGAGTGCCAGGCACTGTGTAAAGCACTAGATACACATCAGTGTACAGGACAGTCCCTGTCTCAAGGCAGCTTCTAGCCGGGGACCAGCAGGGATGTTAAGGCAGTGCAGTGAGCGAGGGGGAAAAGTGAAGGAGCTCCGGAGACAGGAACGAGAGTCTGGGAGAGAAGGAGCTTCTAGAAGTGGCTGTCCCTCAGGGGATGAGTCAGAATCATCCAGGGGAGGGGAAGGGCAGGAGAGAGGAAATAGCATATCCAGCATCTCAGAGGCAAAAGAGGACACATTTAGGGAACAGAATAGCTCGGTCTGGCTGAAGATGATGGAAGATGGAAGACAGAGGAAGACATGGAACTTGGTAAACCACGTGGGGAGCCCTGCCTCCATCCAGGGCAACAGAAGCCACTGGGAGGCTTTGAACAGGGTGTGACATGGTCAGATCGCTTAGATTTCTGAAGCAGATCTGATCTGATTTAGTAGGGAAAGGCCTGAGGCAGGGGAGAATGAAACAAGGACCATTTGGGAGACTCTGTTTTGGGATTTGGGCTGGAGGTGCTTTGGCTTGAACCAGTGCAGTGACAGTGAGAATGGAGAAAGTGGGTGGGCTTTACATTTAGGGAGTAAAAGTGACAGGGTTTGCTGTCTGGATGTGGGGGCAAAGAGTTACAGAAATCAAAGGTGACTCCCACAGGCCCTACTTTGGCCGCAGGATGGACAGGTGTGCTACTTGCTGAGAACTCAAGAGCTTTGTCCTCCACTTGCCCCACTGACTGGCCCTCCCTCCCTTTCTTCTCTGTTCCTCACTCCTACTCTCTTCTTAGTGACTATTCCCATCTTCTCTCTCTGTCTATCTCCCCCTTTCCCCCTCCCCTTGACTACCCGCAGTCCTCTTGGAGGAGGCTAGGGGAATTGGTGGAGGATATTTCAACCCCTTCAATCCACAGCCCTCCCTCAGGCAGTCACCTTTGATTTAGGTCTTCGTGGTTAATTTACAGCCCCCTGGCATCTAAATTCCCTGCTTAGTGGTTTCAACCCTATTTTGTGACTGAGGTGGAGCTAGATGGGACTGGGATTCTGGGGACTCAGGGAATCCCAGAATTAGCTGCATGTTGGGAATAAACTATGCATCTAATCAGGGAGCCCCTGGATCCACCCAGGGACCTTTCTGCTTTTCGAAAGATGTCAAGGCTCTCAAAAAGTTAAGACCACCAGATGAGGCCCCAGAGGAAATACCTCTGAACTGGGCATGAAGGTTGGATGAGCATCCACCCTCCTTCCTGCTGTCTTGAGAACACCAGCTGTTTATGACAGACTGTATGTTATGGTGCTGGGAATGGGTTTACTTTGAGGCAGACTGCAAACGATGTTGCAGTTTAGAGTTCATTAGAGTTTTACTACTTGGAGCTGGGCTTGGAGTGGCATTGCCTACTCTCTGGAGACAATCCCAATACACTAAGATGCCCCAAGCAAGACCAGAGTTCTACACTACCCAGGAAAATCCAGAACAGCTAGAGCAGCTCATAGTTCTCTCCCCTTGACCCTCCTCCTCTTCCCACTTTGGCTGTACCCTGCCCTCTTCCCCTGCGCTCTTCCCTCCTCCCTGGTCCATCTACCTGCTGCAGATTGAGGTCTGGGGGCAGCTCTTGGCGCTGCTGGGCCCTGCGCAGGCTGTCCAGAACGCTGCCTGCCGCGGGACAGCGGCGCGTGAGGGTGAGCACCGCATCGTGGGCCCTGCGAAGCTGGGAGTTGTTGGCGAGTGCGGCCAAGGCCTCTGGGCCTGGGGACAAGGCGTAGTGGAGCGTGTCGAAGGGCAGGAAGACCAGGGAGCCATCGGCCATGCCCAGCTCCTCTGCGGCCTCCAGAAGGCAGCGCTGCTCCTGGCCGCCCAGCAGCACCGAGTGCATCACCATGATCACGGCTGCGGACACAGAGGCTTGGCTGGTGGCGCCGCCCCTCGGTCCCCAGGACCCGCCGACCTCCCGCACTCTGCAGGGGAGCCTACCTCTGACCCTGGGCCCATCCTGGACCCTCCTCAGGGCCTCCCGGGCTCCAGACAGGTCCGGGGGTTCCATGGAGGTCACCAGGGCGACAGGCAGGCCCCGGGCCCTGAGTGCCGTGGACAACGAGCGTCCTGCCTCCACCCACAGGTCCTGGGGGGCGGTGATCAGGGCCAGGCGCGCCCAGCGGAATGCTCGAAGGAGCGTGTAGAGGGCATCCGCCGCGGGCGTCGTGGCGGGGGCTGTGGTGCCCGCCGCCTGTGTCCCGGGGCAGCCCCAGGGCACCAGCGCGACCCCGGCCTCCTGGGCCAGTAGCTCGGCTGGCCGGCAGGCTGCAGGGTTCACTGGACCCACAAGGCCGGAGACGCGGGCCAGCGCGGAGGACACCGCCCCCAGCGAGCCCGGCGTCCGGCACGGCTCGGGCAGCAGCGCGACCTCGAAGCGGGACCCGCCTGCCAGGGCAGGGTCGTGGTTCACGCGGGCGGCGGCCAGGCGGGCGGCCAGGTCCGGGCGGGCCCGGGCGAAGATGGGGTCGCAGGCCCAGGGCCCCAGCACCCCCACTGTGAACGCTGCGGAGAGGGCGGAGGGCAGCAGGGCGAGCAGCAGGAGCAGGGGCGGGAGCGGGCGCCGCGGGCCGGCCAGGGCCCGAGCCCACCGCGCGGGGGCGCAGAGCCGCGGGTCCCGAAGCCCACCGCCTAGCAGGGCACAGGCGGTCATTGCCGGCTTCTGCGAACATACACCGCCGCGTGAGCGACCCAGACCCTCGGGACTCCCTCGGGGCTTTCCCCGCAACCCTCGGTTTCTCACAGCCCGATTAACCGGCGACTAACTGCTCCCACACCCCCCTCCGCAGGCTTGCAGGACTAGACGGGGCCAAGGACGCGGCCTGGAGCCCCCTCCCTTCTCCCCTGCTTCCCGCTCCCACCTCGGCTACCCCTCCCCCTCGTCGGCGCCGTCGGGGATCAGTGGGGACACGCCCACGGCCCCAGACGGACAGGAGTCCCTGCGGAGGGGCCTTTGCCACTCACCGGAAAGTCCGGGGCTCGGGCCCAGGGCCCGGGAGAGGGGTCACCGGGTCGATGCCCCTGCTGACGCCCGCCCACAGTTCTCCCCTGCCAGCCCAGGCCAGGGCGGGGGTGTGGGAACAGCTGGCCAGAGCCCTTAATCCCCCCAAGCTGATTAGGGTCCCTTAATTAGGCAGGGAGGGGTGCGCCGGTGGAGGATGGGAGCCCCTGCCGCGCCTTTCTGGGGTGGGACCTGCCCCGCAGCCAGCCAGACCCTTTCCCCACCATGCCTCCCAACTCCCCCACCGCGGCCACAACCCCAGCATGACAGCAGCCACGGGTCCCTCTTCCAGGCTGCTGCCATATTGCCCTGCGACGGCAGAAAGTGACACGATGTGCCCACGGACACCTGTGAGTGATCAGTACTGGAAGAGGGATTCTCTCAGTCCCATTCCTTACAATCTTCTGTTGCCGGTTCTGCCAGCCAAGTTCAAGCTCCATCCTTTAGCCGGCAAAGTCTATATCCCAGAGACAAAACCCAAACCAATCTGACACCTGCCTTTCTTCTCTCACTTCTCTTTTTCTTTCTTTTTAAATTTTTATTTATTATTTCTATTTTTCTTTTTCTCTTTCAAAATTGCAATCAGTTCTCTCAAAGTTCTCTCACTTCTCCTCTCTCTCACTATACTTGATTCCCTGACCTCCAATTTTCCATGCCTAGAAAACCATCCCTTTGATATTGGGAAGGCAGAACCCCAGGAAGTAATGGAAAGAGCTTTGGCCTCAGACAGACTTGGGTTCAAAGCCCTCCTTACTGGTTTGTTACCTTGAGAAATTGCTTACTCTTTCTGACAGTTGTGAAAATTATCTGTGACAATAAATATAATTGCCTGGTTGGCAAGAATGGGTGGCAATTTTAGAGAAGAATATGATGGAGACATTTCCTACCAGATATTAAAATTTATTATAAAGCTATAGCAATTAAGGCCCTATAGTATTGGCACAGGGATAAACAAATAGACCAATGGAACAGAATAAAGAGTACTGACCCAAGAACAGCAAAAATGGAAATTTGATATATGAAATGGACATTTCTTACCAATGGGGAAAGAATGAGCTGTGACGAATGGAGCTGAATAGTCATATGGTGGGAAAATAGAATTCAATCCCTATCTCACACCATACACAAAATCAATCTCAGGTTGAAGACCCATGTGTGAAAAACAAAACTTAAAAACTTTTTTTTTTTTTTTTTTTTGAAACAGAGTCTCACTCTGTTGTCCAGGCTAGAGTGAGTGCCGTGGGTCAGCCTAGCTCACAGCAACCTCAAACTCCTGGGCTCAAGCGATCCTGCTGCCTCCCGGCTAATTTTTCTCTATATGTATGTACATATATATATACACACACACACACATATACATTATATATATATATATATTTAGTTGTTCAGCTAATCCCCTTCTATTTTTAGTAGAGATGGGGTCTCCCTCTTGCTCAGGCTGGTCTCTAACTCCTGAGCTCAAACAATCCACCTGCCTCGGCCTTCCAGAGTGCTAGGGTTACAGGCATGAGCCACGGCACCCGGCCAACTTAAAAACTTTTAAATGAATCATTTTTCAACCATCATGGCAAAAATTGGATCAGGTAAGAATCATCAATGGATACTAAAGCTAGGGGGAAATTTTGATTAGGAGCAAGATATTGCAGGTCTTACAGTGTCTCCCTACATATTGGCATGAGTTAGAAGGGAGCAAACAAAAAAAAAATTAAAAATGGTAATTATACAATGGAGAAATAGGTTAACACTTTGACCAGGTTACCAAAATTAACCAATGATAGGCAGATAGACAAGATGTGCCTCCAGACATGGTACCCTGAGAAAGACACAAATACTGCTTCTCTGCAATACGGCACAATGCTACATCTCTGCAGTATTCCAGCATCATTTCAGTCTAATCACAAGGAAACATCAGATAAACACAAAACGAGAGATGTTCTACTAAGAAAGAGGGGAGACTGTATTCTTCAAAAATGTCAATGTCGGCCGGGCGTGGTGGTTCACGCCTGTAATCCCAGCACTCTGGGAGGCTGAGGCGGGCGGATCGCTCAAGGTCAGGAGTTCGAAACCAGCCTGAGCAAGAGCGAGACCCCATCTCTACTATAAATAGAAAGAAATTAATTGGCCAACTAAAAATATATATACAAAAAATTAGCCGGGCATGGTGGCGCATGCTGCGTCCCAGCTACTCGGGAAGCTGAGGCAGTAGGATCGCCTGAGCCCAAGAGATTGAGGTTGCTGTGAGCTACGCCGATGCCACAGCACTCGCTCTAGCCTGGGCAACAGAGTGAGACTCTGTCTCAAAAAAAAAAAAAAAAAAATGTCAGTGTCACAGAACACAAAGGTTGAGGAACTGTTCCAGATTAAAGGAAGCTGAAAAGACATGACAAATAAATGCAATACCTGCCTCTGTACTATAGAATTTTATAGATCCTGTATTATAGAATTTTTAAAAGTGATATAGGTTGTAGGGTTTATAGGTTTATAAAAATGTTATAAAGAACATCAACATTAACAAAAAAATTTTCAACTGACAAAATTGGAATATCGTTGGAGTTTCAACAAAAGTTATCAATATAAATTTATGAAGTGAGTAACTGTCCTATAGTTATGTTAAACTATCCCTATTCATAGGAAATACACACTGAAGTATTCAGTGATAAAGCATCATGTATGTAACTGTCCCTCAAGTAGTTCAGAAAAAATATATATTTATATAAATATAACATATGGTACATGCATGCTGTATATATTATATTTTAAAATGATATGCAAATGGGGTAAAATGTTAACAACTGGTGAATCTTGTAAGTTTGAAATTATTTCCAGGCTGGGCGCGGTGGCTCACACCTGTAATCCTAGCATTCTGGAAGTCCCAGGCAGGAGGATCGGGATCCCTTGAGCTCAGGAGTTAGAGACCAGCCTGAGCAAGAGTGGGATCTCATCCCTACTAAAAATAGAAAAAATTAGCCGGGTGTGGTGACTCGCACCTGTAGTCCCAGCTACCCTGGAGGCTGAGGGAGGAGGTTCCCTTGAGCCCAGGAGTTTGAGGTTGCTGTGAGCTAGGCTGATGCCAGGGTACTCTAGCCCAAGTGACAGAGCCAGATTTTGTCTCAAAAAGAAAAAGAAAAGAAAAAAGAAAGAAAGAAAAGAAAAGAAAAGAAAAAAAGAAAAAACAAAGAAATGATTTCCAAATAGTTAATAAAACACTTTTAGATTTTTTTAAACAAGGATGTCTTTATCAATTCAGAATAGGAATGGATTTATTAAACAATACACATAAAGTACAAACCATAAAAGATTGATACATTTTAAAACATTAAAATTAAAATTTCTGGTCCAAAAGCATATCACAAAAAGAAAACATTAGCCACAGACTAGAAGAAGATATTTGCAATACATTTACAAAAAGGGTTAGTAACCATATCTGTCTATATTTATAAATTTCTCTCTTTCTATCTCAGATAAACAACTCAGTAGAAAAATGGGCAAAAGACGTGAGTAAGCACATCACAGGAAAAGTCTAAGGAAAAATGCTCTACCTCACTAATGACCAAGAAGATGCAAAATAAAACAACAATATACTATTCACACCCATCAGACTGTCAAAAATAAAGACAACATGACAATACAAAAATGGGAAAACAAACCCTTGTGTATCCATGGTGACAATGTAAATTGGTGGGCAGTTTGACAATACTTAGTAAAGGTGAAGCAATCCCACTTGTAGGAATCTACACTGGAGAAACTAACATTATGTATGAGGAGACTTGTATAAAGAGTCATTCATTTGTTCATTCAAAATACTGCCGGCGTGTGCCACGCTCGTATCTGCTCTTGGAGGCGGCGGCGGAATTGCTTCAAGGTCAGGAGTTCAAAAACAGCCCTGACAAGAGGCACGACCGTTCTCTTACTATAACAGAAAGAATTAATGGCAACTGAATAATATATATACTAAAAAATCTACGGGCATAGTTGGCGCATGCCTGTAGTTCGTACTCGGGAGGCTGAGGCGAAGATCATCGAGCCAGAGTTTGAGTTTGCTGTTGAGCTAGGCTGACGCCCGGATCACTCTAGGCCTGGAAAAAGATGAAACTCTGTTCCAAAAAAAAAAAAAAAACACATTTACTGAATTTGTACTATGTGCCAGGCACTGTTCTAGGTTCTGGGGATACAGCAGCAAATAAAGAGTTAAAAAGCCCTGTTCTCACACCTGTAACCGTAGCACTCTGGGAGGCCAAGGCAGGAGAATCCCTTCGAGGTCAGGAGTTTGAGACTAGCTGGAGCAGGAGCGAGATCCCAGCTCTACTAAAAATAGGAAAAATTAGACAGGCGTGCTGGTGCGTACCTGTAGTCCCAGCTACTTGGGATGCTGAGGCAAGATGCTCACTTGAGCCCAGGAGTTGGAGGTTGCAGTGAGCATTGATGATGCCACTGCACTCTAGCTGGGACAACAGAATGAAACTCAGTCTCAAACAAACAAACAAAAATAAAACAAAACCCTGCTCTAAAGAAGAATTAAAGACAATAAACAAGATCAAAAGGTAAGATATATAGTATATATGGCAAAACATGAAAATTTGTTAATTTTTGGTTGTGGACATTTAATTGCTATATTTAGGGATTTTCTGTGTGTCTGCAATATTTTATAATTT